GGGGGGGGAGCGGCCGCCCCCGAGAGCTCTTGCTCGGGGGCCCGCGCCCATCCCCGAGGGCTCGGCCAGCACGCAGCCCTCAAGCCGCGGTCCGCACGACGCGAGGCAAGGAGGGGAGGAAGACACTTCAGAAGGAGGATACTTGAGGAGGAAAAGGGGAGGAGGAGGAGGATGAGGGGGAGGAGAAGGAGGAGGAGGAGGAGGGGAAGGAGGAGGAGGAGGAGGAGCAAGAGGAGGAGGCGGAGGAGGAGGAGGAGGAGGAGGAGCAAGAGGAGGAGGCGGAGGAGGAGGAGGAGCAAGAGGAGGAGGACTAGGAGGGGGAGGAGGAGGAGGAGGAGGAGGAGGAGGAGGAGGAGGAGGAGGAGGAGGAAGAGGAGGGGAGGCGAGGAGAAGAACGGAGGACGACGAGGAGGGGGGAGGACGAGGGAGGAGGGCGATGAGGGAAGGGGAGGAGGAAGAAGACAAGGCGGGGAAACGGAACCATACTGAGTCAGACGTGCAAAAACAAAAACATTTTCCCCTAAAAAGGGAACGGAAACAAAAGGGGGCAGATAGTCGGAGGAACCCGACGGGGCGGGGGAGGGCGGTGCGCGCGGGCGCCTGGCCGTACCCATCCCAGTGGCGGGGGTAGATGGGAGGCGGCTGGGCGCCCACGGATCGCTGCGCAGGCATAGACTTTCGCAGCTCCGCGCGGACTTCCTAGATCGGCGCGGCCGACCTAAGGAACCCTAAATAAGGAACGAGGCCCCTAGTTTCCATATAAACTTCGATTTCGTATCGAAAACCTAAGAAAAATCTAAGGCAAACTGCGAAACAATTAAGGAACACAGAGCCCCTCCACAACGAAAAGGGTTCCTTCTTCAGCGCCCCGACGGTGGGACCCGACGACGCCGTGGAGAAACGCCATCCACCGCCACTCCGGAGCGCCGCGGGAGCAGCCGACACCGCAGAGGCCCCCGTTCCACCGCGCTTCTGGGACAGCGCAAGAGCAGCCGACCCCGCAGAGACAACCATTCCACCGCCGCCCTCGTGCAACGCCTGCTCGCGGAGGCGAACGCTCTCGCGGCGATCGGCGGACGACTGCGGGGGGCAGGCAATCGGGAGCGCGCGCGGCCAGGGGGGGCCCCCGCAGCCGCGGGCAGCTCCTCGAGAGGCCCAGCGACGGAGCCGGCGAAACACCAGGCAGGTCGCTCTCAGAAACATCGACGTGGCCATCATCGACGAGATGAAGGGGCCCACAAACACACAAATAAAGACACACAAATGAAACTGTTCCCCATATTTTCCCATATTTTCTGGGTTTCTGTCTTCCCCCCCACTCCCCATATTCTCCCATATTTTCTGGGAGTGGACGATTAATTGTGTCTGTGTGTTTTTCCCCTCCTGACGAGAGCGGGCGGGCCATGGGGCGGGGGCTCGGCGGCGGGGCGGTGCAAGGGAGACCGTTGCACTCGGCGCTCCGCAGCGGGGAAGGCCGCAACGGCGAGATCCTGCGCGAGCTTCCGAGAGCGCAGGGCTCTTGGACAATCTGCGCATTGGTTGGCGATGGCGGCCGAACACAGTATCGAACGGAAACTGCGACTCCAACTTGCTTCGGCGTCGAGCAGGTCGCACATTCACTCCGCAAGGGGATGAGGTGCACGGGCCGCCGCCTCAGGCGGCGCTCAACCCAGCGGCGGGACCGCCGTCCGCGCCCGAGAACGCAGGAGGCCAGGATCTCGAGCGAGGCGGCGTTCGCGGATATCATAATCCGACAGAAGGAAGCAAACGCATCAAACAGGCCACGGGTGGCGCGCAGGTCCTCGCGCAGCTCCGCGGCCACGGACACGTCTAACGAGGCCTCGACGTCGACCACGAACCATGCCGCGCACGGGTTCGCCGTGGCGCCCACAGAGCCCGCAAGCCTTTGCATCGGCATGTCCTCCAACCTCAGCTGATCAAAGACTGCCGCGAGCTCTTGTGGGTGCGGGTGGGGGTCACTGAGCTAACGTCGGTACTGTCGAAGTCGCCGCCGTCGCAGCTCGACCCCCGCAAGAGGTGGAGGAGGAGGAGGAGGAGGAGGAGGAGGAAGAGGAGGAAGCGGAGGAGGAAGAAGAGGCGGAGGAGGCGGAGAAGGCGGAGGAGGAGGAGGCGGAGGACGGACGACGACGAGGCGGAGGAGGAGGTGAAGGAGTAGGCGGTGGAAGAGGCAGAGGAGGCGGAAGAGACGGAGGAGGACAAGGAGAAAAAAAGATGAGTAGGAGGAGGAGTAGGATGAGGAGGAGGAGGAAAAGGAGGAGGAGGAGGAGGAGGAGGAGGAAGAAGAGACGAAGGAAGAGGAGGAAGCGGAAGAGGCGGAGGAGGAGGAGGAGGAGGCCGAGGAGGCCGAGGCCGGGGGGGCCGGGGAGGCCGAGGAGGACAAGGAGGACGAGGAGGAGGTGGAGGAGGCGGCGGAGGAAGCGGAGGAGGCGGAGGAGACGGAGGAGGAGGCGGAGGAGGAGATGCCTCTCGATCCGTACCTGGACGGGCACCGCTGGAGGCCTCTTCCTGTTTCCCTTCGTGTCCTGGCTTCGTGATCGTCCCTCTCCCCCCCTCCTTCCATCCCTCCTTCCCTCCATGTGTGGTTTCCCTCCTTCCTCCTCCTCCTCCTCCTCCTCCCTCCCCCTCCCCCTCCTCCTCCTCCTCCTCCTCCTCCTCCCCTCCTCCTTCCTTTCTCTCCTCCTCCTTCTCCCCTCCTCCCCTCCTCATCCTCCTCCTCCTCCTCCTCCTCCTCCTCCTCCTCCTCCTCTTCTCCTCCCTCTTCCTCTCATCCTCCTCCTCCTCCTCCTCCTCCTCCTCCTCCTCCTCCTCCTCCTCCTCCCAGCCGTTCTGGCTCAGGCTTTCAGCCTGTGCTTGCAGCAGCTTGCCCTCAGAACGGTACACAGCTGCTGCGGGCCAAGGTTGGCTCGGTCTGTCGTCCACTTTGAGTGTGCGGGGTCTCAACCCGCAATCTTCATTTTATGAGCTCCTGCTGGAGCCCGTAGCCGATCACTGCTCGAGGGGAGTCATGGCGGGCAAAGGCGAAGGCGGGAAGGGGCGTGGCGTCCCTTGGGCTCCGTTGCACCGTACCTGGGCGCAGCCACCTCCTCCTGCACCTGGAGGTGGCCAGGGCAAAGGCGCGGGCCGCCCGCCCAGGCGCCAGGACCCGAGGACGTGGCCCGCACTCGCTCCTGGTCCTCAGGGTGTTGGCGTTGCTGCTCTCGGTGGTGGCGCCCCTCCTGGCAGCTCGTCCACGCGCTGGACATGCTGCTGGTGTGGATGGAAGAAGAACGCTGTGGAGCCCTCAAGAGCGACTCGGCCCTGCTGCCCTCCGCATGGGCGACAAGTAAAACTCTTGAGCTCCTCGGCTACGGTGACGGCAAGCAGGATGGGGACACGGGCCACGGGAAGGGCGCCACCGCTGCTCCTGCTGGCGGAGGCGGAGGCAGAGGCCTTCCAGCAGGCGGCAATGTATCCAAGCCCCCCCTCACGGCAGAGGAGTACTCCAAAATGGCCGCGCTCTGCGAGAAGTTGGGGGACATGCAGGGCGCTCGGGCTCACTGCGCAGCCGCGGCACCTTTGCAGCAGCCCGCGCCCAAGCTCGTCCCACTTCAGGTTCAACTCAACCGTGCCCATCAGCATGCACGCTTGGTCGAGAAACGTCTCGAGAGTGCGGTCACGACGTTCGAACAGATGGAGCAAGCGCTGGCAACGCAGAAGTCTATGGTGTTGCAGCTGCGGCCCAGGCTGACCGAGGCAGAGGGTCAGCATAGTGCACTTGTGCGGCGCCTCCATTACGATCTACCTGGCCCGACGCCCACTTCTGCTGCAGGAAGCAAGCTCAGTCTGGAGGACCTTCTTGATGAGCAGCGATTCTCAGCCATGTTCGACCTCGACCTCGGCGACTGCTTCACCGTCACGGAGGAGGGGGACTCCTTGTCTACCGAGGAGAAGGAGCAACTGGCTACTCGAGTGTGGCAGTTCAAGACGGGCATCTTTGACATGGCTCGCCACCATTTCGCGGGGGCGAAGCAGAAGGTCGACTCGCTCAAGGCCGAACACCAGTCGCTGGCTCAGCGCATGGCGGTCAAGAAGCGGCGCACTGGCGAGGAGGGCCAGGGCGTGGCAAGCGGCGGGCCAACGACCAACGCACCCGTCGCAGCCGCTGCTGGCAGCCCCGTGGCTGGGCCCGCGGCGGTCGAGGGTGCAGGCGACTCGGCGTCTACTCCGACTTCGCAGGCGACAGCGGCTACCCCTTCGGCACCTTCGACGGCGCAGGCCAGCGCCCGATCGCGCGCCGGCAGGATCGCTGGCGAACCTTCTGATTCAGTCCCCCCTGGAGGAACCTAAGGATCTTTGGAGCCTGGACCGCGGGACCGCCCCTCGGGCTTTCGGAACCGCCTACCTGGCCAAAGGCTTTCTTAGGAACAACCTCCAAGGGGGAAACGACTTTGTATTTTCAGGACCCAGCCGTGCGTCGGCACAGGTCACTCGTTGGCGCAAGCGAGGGCTGCCTCTGCTCCTCGCTTCCTCCTCTGGCAGCTCCGACTGCCTGAATTTGTTTGTTTTTTTTTCCGCAGCGCAGGCCTCAGTCTCATTGGCGCTCACTGCTCACTCGTGCTGATGCGGTGTTTGGTCAGTCGTCTTTCAGCATGTGTGATGCTAACAATCAGCGCCAGTTTCCGCTTTGTTTCGCTAGACCTGCTGGAATGCATCCTGTGATATCGCTGGTCAAGGATGCTCCCTGTCGCACCTCGCTGGTCAGGCTTCCGATGCCTGCCCCAACTTCGGTGCTGCAGGCTCCCGGAAATCTTTCGTTGTCTGGCAGCGGCCTTGGGGGGCCTGGGCCATCTGTAGACCGGGGCCCTCGGCGCTGCCCCTCGTCTCCACCTTCTGCCCAACTCGCTTTGTCTTCGGTCTCGGAACGCGAGGGCATGGGCCCGTGCAGCTCACGCCCGCACCCTGCGGAAGCTCGGTCTCCCCCCTCGCGCCTGCCGGGGCAGGTCGACGCGGCGCCACTCAGGATTCAGACCATCAGCTGTCATTCTCGGGGCAGGATGCGTAACATCATCGACGGCACTGACGCGCGCGTCTTCCTCTGCCAGGAGCACCGATTGATTTTCCCAGAGGATATTGATCAGGCTAGCGCCTGGGGCCTCCGCCGCGGCTGGAAGAGCGCGTGGCCGCCCGCCGCGGCCATGGAGGTATGGGGCGCGCCGGGGGGTCTGCCATTGTCGTGCGCTCCTGGATGGGCTGCTCGGATGCTGTTGGAGGCCAGATGTGTGCTGGCAGGGCTGTCGTGTGCTCGGTTGAGTTTCCTGGCACGCCGCCCACTCCTTGCCTCTGCCTGCCCCCATCATTCTGAGGGGCTGTCTGACAGGAACTTGGCGCTGCTCTCCGATCGTGGGTTGCGCCTCTCCTCGGCTGCGAGACCCTGGATTCTTGGTGCGAGATTCAAGCTGTAACCCTCTGGGTTGAGAGGTCGCCGCGTTGTCCAGGTGCTCAGAGGTGCACTGGTCTTTCCCAAGGTGCCCACCCAACCCTGCGGGTCCCCCTACCACGTTCGATTACTTTGTCGTCCCTGGAGGGATCGAGCACCAAGGGTCTTAGCATGGGCATCGAGACGCGCTTAAACACGGAGCTCTCCCCCCACAAGCCTGTCGACCTTATGATTTTCGATCGGTTGGTTGCGCTGAAAGCCCTGTCGTTCAGGCGCCCCCCGCCCTTGCCAGCCGAGGCGGTGGTCGGTCCGTCCCCGAGACCTCCTGAGTGGTCTGGGGTCCAGTCCCTGGCCGATCCGGCCCTGGGCCTTATTGACTCTGGTCGCCCCCAAGAAGCTGCTTCCCTTCCCGCAGGTGGGCTGAGACTGCCGAAAGGGAACTCTTTCCGTTGGTTGGGTCATCGCCTGTCAAGCTTGGCGCTCGCGGGTTGGGCCCTCAATTGGTCTGGCGCTCGGTCTTAGCCAAGGATTCCCAGGGCAGATACCCTGCCCACAGATCCATTGTGCAGTTAGGGCAGCAGCTCAGGGCGTACATCCACTATTTGCGAGCAGGCGCGTCCAGCACCGCATCTAGTTTGAAGGACCTGTTGCTTCAGCCTCCGCTTGCGATCGCCGACGCCAAGGCTGACTATACTATGCGCCCGTGCTAAAGTTGGCGGCGACGTCGGTCGCGACCTCGGCTGCTCCCGATGCGTTTGCTGATGTGCATGCTCGGGCGCACGACGCCGTCGAGGCCGCCGACAGCAAGTTCCTCGCGCGGGGCCGTGCCGACTGGAAGGCATGGCTTAAGGTCGGAGTGCAGTCTGGTGCCAAACGGGCCCACATGTTGCTTCAAGACCCGACCCCATGGGTGGCCAGCAGCACTCTTTCGGCCGAAAGCAGTGTGGTCACGGATCCGCTCTTGCTTCTGGAAGTGGAGGGCCTCCGTTTCTCTGAGCTTTGGGGTCCTGGATCGGGGGCCCTGCCTCAATCTGAGCGCCTTGAACCCCTCCCCAGAACCGATACTGATGCCATTCGCGAAATATCTCGGTCATATAAGAGTGCTTCGGCCGTCTCTGTTGACGGGTTCCACTGCAGACACTTTTCTTTGCTGTCTGGCGCGGGCCTCACCTGTCTTAGTTGCATCCCCTGTCTGACCGAGTCTCTTGGCATCCTCCCTCCCCAGATGGCGGTCGTGCTGCCCGCGCTGCTGCCGAGGCCGACTGGCGGCTACAGGCCCATGGGAGTGGTCTGTTCTTGGTGTAGGGTCCGGGGCCGCTGCAGGCGCCCCCTCGCCCTGGACTGGGAGCTCTCACACGCCCCCGCGGGCGCTGGGCCGCCGGCCAACATCGGGGAGCGGCCGACGTCGTCTGGCGACGAGCGGCGACGGCTGAAAGCGGAGTCGTCAAGGGACAGGCTAGTTGTAGCATCTTCTTTGATCTTTCTAAGTTCTACGAGAATATTAACTTGGACAAGTTAGAGGATCGCTGCAGCGAGGCATCGGTTTCCGATGCTCATCGCCAGAGTGTGCCTGTATGCGTACAAAGTTAAACGGTTCCTCAGTCTCGGCGGTTGGATTGTGGGCCCATACTTTTGCGTGAACGGGGTTATCGCTGGCTGTTCGATGGCCACCACTCTCATTCGCATCTACTGCCTTGACGGTTACGACATCATCCCACTTGCTCCCTCCGCCTCCCTGGACGTTTACATCGATGATCAGGGCTTGTCCTCCACGGGTCGCCCTGGCGCCGTCGTGGAAGCTGTGGTGGCTGGAGCCGTTGCGTTGGATGGTGTCGTTCGGGGTGTGTTCGGTTGTTCGTTTGCCCTTGAGAAAACGGCGACCGCTGCTATCTCGAAATTCGTCCGCACCCAGGTCCTCGACAGGCTCAGCCACCTCGGCCGCCACTGCTCTGGTTCCGCGGTCAACCTCGGCGTTAACTACACGTCTGGTCGGGCTCTTAGGGTTGGCGGCAAGTCGGCCAAGATGAAGGCTAGGATAGCCAAGTCAGGGCGGGTTGCTCGGCGCTTAGCGCGGCAGGGTAAGGCGCTCAGTCGGGCCACCTCCCTTAAGGTCTTCTCGGCGGGGCCCTTAGTGGGAACCTCCTGTGGGTCCGAGGTCGCGGGCGCCAGTGATCGCGACCTTCGCCTGCTGCGCCGCCCCTTTTTTTTGTCTGGGGTCTCTCACTGTCTGCGCCATCCTGGCTGGACTACGATACGACGTGGCGCGCCGCCGCGGCCCCGATTCTCTGGTGGGGCAAGGAGATTTGGATTTGTCAGACCTCAGCCTTTCGCTGGTCTCTCTCTCTCTCTCTCTCTCTCTCTCTCTCTCTCTCTCTCTCTTAACCTGTGCTCAAGCGCGCGGCGCGCCATCTTTTCTTGCGCGTCCTGCAGCTGGAGGCGAGTTGCGGGCCCCATCTCTGCCATGCGGATGTCCCTGGTGCGTCTCAGATGGCGCGTGGATAACTTCATGACCCTTGTTGACGATTTCGGGAGGCCCATGCCCACGGGGACATTCTCGCCCTCGCTTGGCGGGCCCCTGGTCCGAGAAGGGCACTCCCGCATGTTGGACAAGGAAAAGCGGCGGCTGCTCGCGACATCCAGTCCCGTCTCTGCTGCGACGTTGCGCGGGAATGCCTCGCCCTTCGCAGCGAGAATTCCCCCCCCTCCAAATGGCATGGATTCTGGCCTTCTCCACGGAAGCGTTCCTCGCGGCTGCTAGGGCCGAGTCGCCCGGATATCTCATTGAGCCTGTCTGCGTTCATTGTGGAGTCCGCGACGCCATTTCCCACCGTTTGCGGGGATGGACCTTCCCCCCTGCGGCTGAAGATAGGAGCAGGCTGGTCGAGCCCGATATCATCAGTGCTGTGCGCGCAGCAAAGGCCTCGGGCGAATACGAGGACAGCTTTGCGTTTATCTCTGGCGCCTTTCGGCGCCCCGCCGACCTCTACCCTCTACCCTCAGACGTTGACTGAGCAGGATGAAGGTCCGACCTTGACGTGGCACAAGCAGCCTAAGGATGGCCCTAACGGGGCCCCTGACGACAACCGAGTTTGAGGCGACCTCTGTGTCGACGGTTCGCGATGTCGCCGCGCGGTGCGCGAGCTTTCTCGGGCGGGCAGCGCGGCTTGCATGGTGGGCGAGGCCGGTAACTTGGTTGCCGAGCTTCGTGCTCCAGCGTGGGGGGGCCATGCCAGCAGACGGCTCAGGGTGCCGAATTCGGCGCCCATGCTTGGGCGAACGTTATCGCCACGCTTCCCGCCGACTGCAACGTCTACCCTGATTGTAGCAATGTTGCGCAGTCTGCCGCCAGAGCCAAGTCGGTGCAGCTGTCGCCCAAGAGGATGTACTCGGAAGCATTTCTCCAATGGTATGGTGAGTGTCGTTGAATCGTTTTTTGCTCTAAGGTGGCCGCCCACCTTGACATCGACGCCCCTGACATCGCGCCCCTCGAGCGCTGGGGCAGGCGCGGCAATCACCACGCAGATGTTGCAGCCAAACGCGCAGTCTCCTTGCGCCCGCGCGACGGAGTTTAACTACAGGATGCCAACATAATGGTGTCCTACGCCAGGGCCACTTTGAAGCTTGCTGCGCACGTGCTTGTCCACTGGCCCCCTTCTGGACTTGTCTGGCGTCGGCAGGGCCCCCGATCCCCTGTCTCAAAGGGGGCCCACTTCTGGCCATGTTTGAAAATCCTGGGGCGGAATCTGGAGGCGTGCTCACTGTTTGCGCGGTAGCAAGTCCCTGGTCCGTGCGGACCACCACGATGCCCTCGGACACAGAACCGTCGCTTTTCCTTGCTCTGACTTCTCGGTGCTCTTTATATGTCTCAGGTGCGAATGCCACACCAGTTGGGTCAAATCCGAGGCCTGGACCAGGAGTGCGTTGCCCCGCCCCGCGCTGGCAAGGACGGTTGGGACTACGTTTGCAAAGGACAGCGCCCCCAGCACAAGCAGCGGAAAGCTGGCTTCAAAGTTGACACTGAAGGTCTGCTCCACTGCTTCCACTCGGCGAGTGCGAGCGCCCTGCTGATCGCAGGCCCAGTCGAGCCCGCCTGCACCTCCGCCCCAACGGCTGTCATTTCTTCTGCTGGTCCGTCTGCCACAGCTGCGGGGCCTGGCAGCACTGTGCCGTTGCTCGCTTCGCAGCCCCGTGCCTTGGCCGCTGGTCCATTACCCTCCGAAGGTGACGCGCTCGTGAGCGACTCCTCCGGCTGCGGCCTTTACTATGACTTTGAAGCTGCCGAGGAAGCCGCCTCGTTCCTCGCGGCAGGCCTGTCTGCTGCCGACGATGTTGTCAGCTCTGCTGCGAATGCAGCATGCTCGCGAGGCTCTGCGCCGCTTGGTCCATTACCTAGCACTGGTCCATTACCTGCGGGCGACAGACTTGTGGGCGGCGGGTTGGGCAGCGACCTCTCTGTAAGTTTTGAAGCTGCCCCGCCGTCTGCCGACGGCGATGTTGGCCGCGCCGCGGGCGCGCAGTGCTCCGTCGGAGCAGCGCCGACCGATGCCCCGCCGCCTAGCGCGCCAAGCCTCGGTCCATTATCCGCGTCGGGTGACGGACTTGTGGGCGATGCCTTGGGCTGCGGCCTGTCTGCAAGTTTTTAAGACGAGGAGGCTGCTCGGCGTCTTGTCCGCAGCGCCGCTGAGGCGTCGCGCCGACCGCCCAGTGCCTCTCCGAGGGAGGTGCTGCGCCAGGTGCGAGATGCTCTAGCGGTCCAGGATGACG